TTTCCAAGGGAGAGCAGTTAAGACAGATGCCCCTTCGGCACTCGGAAAACGTATCAGAGACACATAGGGCAGGAAAAAGGAGAACATGGTTGTGGGTATTTCTAAGATTCTCCATTTAAGCAGCACATCAGGATGATTACGAGTAGAGGAGGGTGATTCAGGATTATTCAAAGGGGTGCTTTCATCATGCTGCAAAAGGCAGAGGCTGCCAAGCCGACCCTTAAGAAACATACAAAGCGTGGGCTCCCTGTGGGGAGCAGTAAGTGGGGTCCAACCTGGAGAACTCCTCCTCCGACAATGACCCTGAGCTTCCAGGGCTGGAAAACACCAAGGAATGAGGTGGGGGTGGTGGGCTGGTGAGAAGCCAGGATTCCCAGGGAGGGTTGCAGGCGACCGCCTGCCGAAGCAGAGAGCCTGAGGAGCCGCCCGAGACTCCACCGAGCCCGAGGAGCAACAGATGAACAAGGGCAGGAGGCAACCGGAGCAGCACCAGCCTACAAGGCAAGGAGGGAGGGAGGGCTCCTTGAGAGGAGGGACCTCCTCCTTGGAAAGTCTGCAGCGGACTCAGCTCAGCTCCCAGAAGCTCTGCTGAAGGCCAATTACTGGGAAGGTCATCCGAAGTCCTCCAAAGGCCGACAACCCTGCTCTCTATCCTGAGAGTTCTGCTCAATATGGGGAGGGGGGGACGGGACAAAGAGCGCAACTGGGGAAAAGAACCTTCAAGGGAGAAAGAAGCCATGGGTGCAAGGGGACTCGTGGCAGCCTAACCTCAGGATAAAGGAAACTGCCTCTTTTCATGCCCAGCTGGCTTCCCAGGTGAGTGAGCCCTCTGGGTGACCTTCCTTTGCCTGCTCTCCACTTGGCAGGACTGCGATGTACAGCCTGGATTGTACCTTGGCCGCTCTTCCGCCTCCTTCAACGAATCCTCCCCTCCTGCTTTCTCGCCTCCGTCTCCGCTGTGCACCAGCCAGGTTTGGACGTCTCCCTTTTCACCGTCACCCTGCAGAGGCTACCCCTCCTCCCTGGGCAGTCATGGGCCCCTGGCAGCCACAGAACAAGAGGAGGACCTTTTCCTGACCAGCCCCCCCCAAGCCAGCACAACTGCATGCACACTCTCAGGGGGTGGGAAGCGCTCTTCTCTTTGGTCGGTGTCATAGATGCCTTACTGTGATACAGAACTGGCATTTCACATTTAATCAGGCAAATTGACTGAGACCACCTTTCTTTACACCTTTTGGAGAGAGCCTCAGGGCGCCATGGCTGAATGGCTGTCCTGCAGCCCCAACTCTGCTCATGATGCAGGGTTCAATCCCAGGGAGCCGGCTCAAGGTTGACTCCACCTACTCTCCTTGGTAAAATGAGGACCCAGCTCACTGGGGGACAGCGGGGGCAATGTGTAGCCTGCATAATTAACCTGTAAACTGCCCAAAGAGTGCTTGAAGCGCTATGGGGCGCTATAGAAGCAGCACGCTTTGCTGTTTTTGTTTTTTTTTTGGTTTTTTTTTGCTTTTTACATGCCATGAGAATTTTTTTTGAAAAGATGAAAAGTAGCCCCCCAGCTAGCTGTCAAAGGGGATGAACCAAATCACGGGGTGGGGGGTGGGAAGCGCTCTTCTCTTTGGTCGGTGTCATAGATGCCTTACTGTGATACAGAACTGGCATTTCACATTTAATCAGGCAAATTGACTGAGACCACCTTTCTTTACACCTTTTGGAGAGAGCCTCAGGGCGCCATGGCTGAATGGCTGTCCTGCAGCCCCAACTCTGCTCATGATGCAGGGTTCAATCCCAGGGAGCCGGCTCAAGGTTGACTCCACCTACTCTCCTTGGTAAAATGAGGACCCAGCTCACTGGGGGACAGCGGGGGCAATGTGTAGCCTGCATAATTAACCTGTAAACTGCCCAAAGAGTGCTTGAAGCGCTATGGGGCGCTATAGAAGCAGCACGCTTTGCTGTTTTTTTGGGGTTTTTTTTTTGCTTTTTACATGCCATGAGAATTTTTTTTGAAAAGATGAAAAGTAGCCCCCCAGCTAGCTGTCAAAGGGGATGAACCAAATCACGGGGTGTGGGCAGTTCGCCTTGGCAGCTGAAGGAAGGGATACTAGGGAAGGGCAGAGAGGAGCCAGCCTGAGTGCCCAGCCAGGAGGGTCTTGTAGCTGACCAAAGAAGGGAACTCTTGCCAGTTCTTAACCTTGGCGGGATCGACAAGGTGACCACCACCAAGAACAGATAAAGCAGGCTGCCTTTTATTTCTGCTCTGAAGCCCTTGACCTCAAGCAGCCGATGAGGGTGACTGGGTGTAGCTGGGGCCCTGCTCCGACAGCTCAGAAGCCAGCGTGTCCTCCCGTCAACTCAGAAGCAAGCCTCCTCGGGTTCACCTTCGCTGGCTCCCAGGAAAGGGTCCCGGAGCACAACCTGGCTCTCCCATCCTTTGCCCCCAAGGAAGGCACCGGCCTCTTTTGAACAAGAACACGATCAATGGTTGGTTGTGGGTTTTTTGGGCTCTTTGGCCGTGTTCTGAAGGTTGTTCTTCCTAACGTTTCGCCAGTCTCTGTGGCCGTGGGCATCTTCAGAACACAATCACTCCGTGAAGGGCAGGATTCCGCATTTCTTTGAATCCCCCTCGCTCAACAGGACTGGACCCTGGACCCTGATTTCCCATTGCATTTTAAAAGGACCAATCCTGGAACGCTTAGGCAGGCCTTCTCCGACTGACATGGGGCACACTTCATACTTTGGAGACAGACGCTACCCAAGAAACCACCTTAGAAAACACGCACCTCTGCCCACGACCCTTGCGGTGGGAATGTTCCAGGCAGAGTCAGGAGGTCGGAGTTCAAAGCCCCACTGCTGACCGCCGCCTTGCCCACAGAAGCAGGAGTCTCTCCCTCCCCACGCCAGTGCCGATCTGTTCTTCAGACTGAATGACCTCAGCCGATTGCTATTGAGGCCAATCTGTCCCCTTGGGAAGAAAGAGGCCGTACGCAGGCACAGACAAAAACGGCTTTCACAGGCGGAGCCGCTGCGCCAGGCGCGGGCCAAGGGGGCACTCCTTCCTGGAATCCGTTGGCGAAAGGGCAGAGGCCCAAGCCCCGCATGCCCCCGATGGCCCCTCCCTTGCTCGAGCCCAAGGAGAGAGTAGTCCAGACAACCTCTGCTTTCCACTGAGCCGGCTGCCCATCCCCAGTGGCAGTTTGCCAGAAGGCAGGGACAGGTTTTCTGCCCTAAGGATGGCCTTTAAAAACCAAAGAAGGGAACTCTTGCCAGTTCTTAACCTTGGCGGGATCGACAAGGTGACCACCACCAAGAACAGATAAAGCAGGCTGCCTTTTATTTCTGCTCTGAAGCCCTTGACCTCAAGCAGCCGATGAGGGTGACTGGGTGTAGCTGGGGCCCTGCTCCGACAGCTCAGAAGCCAGCGTGTCCTCCCGTCAACTCAGAAGCAAGCCTCCTCGGGTTCACCTTCGCTGGCTCCCAGGAAAGGGTCCCGGAGCACAACCTGGCTCTCCCATCCTTTGCCCCCAAGGAAGGCACCGGCCTCTTTTGAACAAGAACACGATCAATGGTTGGTTGTGGGTTTTTTGGGCTCTTTGGCCGTGTTCTGAAGGTTGTTCTTCCTAACGTTTCGCCAGTCTCTGTGGCCGTGGGCATCTTCAGAACACAATCACTCCGTGAAGGGCAGGATTCCGCATTTCTTTGAATCCCCCTCGCTCAACAGGACTGGACCCTGGACCCTGATTTCCCATTGCATTTTAAAAGGACCAATCCTGGAACGCTTAGGCAGGCCTTCTCCGACTGACATGGGGCACACTTCATACTTTGGAGCCAGACGCTACCCAAGAAACCACCTTAGGGAACACGCACCTCTGCCCACGACCCTTGCGGTGGGAATGTTCCAGGCAGAGTCAGGAGGTCGGAGTTCAAAGCCCCACTGCTGACCGCCGCCTTGCCCACAGAAGCAGGAGTCTCTCCCTCCCCACGCCAGTGCCGATCTGTTCTTCAGACTGAATGACCTCAGCCGATTGCTATTGAGGCCAATCTGTCCCCTTGGGAAGAAAGAGGCCGTACGCAGGCACAGACAAAAACGGCTTTCACAGGCGGAGCCGCTGCGCCAGGCGCGGGCCAAGGGGGCACTCCTTCCTGGAATCCGTTGGCGAAAGGGCAGAGGCCCAAGCCCCGCATGCCCCCGATGGCCCCTCCCTTGCTCGAGCCCAAGGAGAGAGTAGTCCAGACAACCTCTGCTTTCCACTGAGCCGGCTGCCCATCCCCAGTGGCAGTTTGCCAGAAGGCAGGGACAGGTTTTCTGCCCTAAGAATGGCCTTTAAAAAAAAGAGTTGGAAGCTTCAGGGATTCCACAAAACAGGTAGACGAGACGGGCGGTCAAACCATCGAGCAGCGAGACTCGACTGGACAGTGCAGTTCCTTGCCATCTGCAAGGAAAGGGAGGGGGCTGAAGCTAAGCGGGAGGATGGCGGTGGGGTGGAGCAGGGCGTGCTTTTGCATGCAGAAGATGCCAGGTGCGAGCCAGGAGAGCACCCCTCCCAGCTCGGAACATGGCAGAGGGGCTGCGGCAGGGCAGGGGAAGGCCAGAGGTGAGAATTGCAGCGGGGGGGGGAAGAGGGGGCGTAGAAGCAGGCTGATTCTTTGGCTCAAGGGACATCGCCTGGACAGAAACAACATGACGGGCAGACAGAGATAAGGGAAGAGGCTAACAGGCATGCAAGGTGCACTGGGTGGCCCCACACCAACAGACAGCTGTTCCTCCTCCCCACCCCATGTCGGGTCAGAAGGCAGCGCACAGCATTGCCAGTCCAGCAGCCACAGCCAGTCCAAAGCATCAGGACCTCCCCAACAGATCTCCTCCGTCCCCCCCCCCGCCCCTGTGGGGAAGAGTAGGTCCCAGGTTAGGCTGGTCCCCTTCCCCAAGCGCTGTGCGCGTTCCTAAAGAGAAAGGCTTGAAGACAAGACGTGAGGGATGCCCCACAGGGTGACCCCTGAAACGTGCCTTAAAATACTTTATTTTGCTTTATATTCTGGTGGGGCAGAAGCCACTAAAAGAGACATCCGGCAGCACAAAGTTTTCCCGCACACAGTCTCGTGCACACCAAACACATACCGGCACAAAGGGGACAGTGGGGAGGCGTTTTCATGCCAGGGAGAGCAACATCTGCAGCCAGGTCCCTTTTAAGGGCTTGCTGGCCAAGGTGGGGGGGGGCAGGGGGGGCAACCTGAGCACCTGGTCCTGTCCTCTCACACACACACACACACACACACACACACACCTGTTTCCACAGGCCCTGGTCTGCCCTCCCCTTCTTTGGCACTGACCCTGGGGCCCAGGGGGCCGCTTGCCCATCACCCTTAGTCTTGCTTCCCGACTCTTGCTACAGCCCCTCCTTCCGAGGACCAGAGCTGATCCTTGCTGACATTTCCTTCCCTTCTTCTGAGAAAGAGCTTATATGGGGAGCGAGGAGAGGCAGCCTCCTCCTCTTCAAGCAGGCTTTGGCAACAAGAGCAGAGGGTGCCCGGGTAGAAAACAGGAAGGCCCACCGTCAAGTAGACACTAATGGGTGGGGTGGGAACCAGGCCCAGCTGGGCCACTGGGAACACTCACAGGGCGGGTCTCCAGTCTGCTCCACCCAACGGGCCTTTCCCTCTCTCTCTCTCTCTCTCTCTCTCACACACACTCACACTCACACACACACAATGAACCAAACACTTCAGCTGAGGCCTGTCATCAGGTGACCCTTCCATCAGCAGCCAGGATTGCTGAGACTTTCTTTCACTGTTGCAAAACAAGGAGTGGCGATGGCAGGCAGGCAGGCAGGCACACACACACCCCCTCTGCTGCCACACGGGCCCTAAGGAGCGGCTGCTTCTGGAGGGCCCCAGAGGTCCTCCCATCGGCACCAAGGTTCAAAATGATACTTCACATGATGGCGAACGGAGGGGAAGGGCTGGAGCGGCTGTCCAGCCAGCCAGACGGCAGTTCAACGTCCACAGCCGGCCCCTTTCCTGCAGGCGGCTTCTTCAGAGGAGATCCGTGAGAAGGGGTGTTCTCATAAATTCCTCCGGCAACTCCTTCCCCTCAGGTGTCCCGGTGGCCGGGCTTGGCAAGAAACTGGCGGAGACCGAGCCAGTCTCTTGGGCAGACGAAACCATTCCAGGAGAAGAGGATCCGGCGTGGCCGAGGAGGCAAAGCAGCCGCTGCCCGAGACAACGACCGGACGAGTCGGAGCTGCTCCGCCAACCAGCTAAGGGCCAAGCAGCAGAGGGACCCGGCACCTGCCTCGTCGTTGCCACCCTTCCCATCCTTCCACGCGGCTGCAGCATGATGGCCTCCTTGGGGAGGCTACTCCATCTTTTAGAAGGTAAAATGGAGGAAGGTTGGCCCGGGGGGGGCAGGGCCCACCACAGCTAGCACCCACATCCACAGCGAGCAGACCAGGGCCAGGGTGCCGAGTTCTCTCTGGCCCTCTTGCCAGCTCCTGTCCGGAACCATTTGGGGACATGTGGAAGCCCGAGGACATCCCGCCGCGGGCCCGGCTGGCCTGGGCAGGGAGGCGTCCACTAGAAGCGCTTGTCTTCCGGCTGGGAGCTGACCACCAGCTCCTTGTTGCCGAAGTCCCACCAGGCTGTCATGTGGAAGGCCATGTTGGAAAGGACCACCAAGTACTCCAGGAGGGCAAAGACTGTGTACACTGGGGAGGGAAAGCAGAAACAGGAGGTTCAGGCAGAGCCTGGACAGGGGGGGCCCAATCCTGCACGGAAGCGACCCCAACCCTGCGGCGTGCACCATGGAGGCGGCGGCCGGGGGGGGAACCTGAATGGGGAGGAAGCTGATTTTGCATAAGCTGCCTGAATCTATGGGAGGGGCTCAGGGCTACTAAGGCAGGGAAGACGGAGCCCTTTCCGGGGCTAGTCTTGCCTTCAGGCTGAGAGGAGAAAATCAGTCCTAGAGCAAGCGACCACGCCGCTCATGAAAGAGAGAAGGAAGGAAACCCTCAGCCATTTCATGAAGAACAGGAAACAGGAATGGTTACAGCTGGTAAGTCTAAGTGAAATAGAAGCAAGGAGCCACTCAGGAATAAAAAAAACTTCACGGAGGGAGAACTCTTGAGAGCTGCTGCCTTCAAAAAGCCAGGAGGCGCCCTAATGGTGACCGGCTTCTAAGGAGAAGAACTCACACCTTCATCGTCACCTCCAGGCCTCCCTGCCTCTCCTGGCAATCATCCCCCAAGCACGGCCTAAGCATTTCTAGCCTTTGTCTGTGAGGGCTCTGAAGGTGCCCAGTATTAAAACAATAATTTAAAAAAGAGATTTTTTTTAAAAAGAGTTGAGGTCCTTCATTAAGGTGCTCGGTCCCATGTCAGTCGGCACATCGCCCCCACCGAGGGTGCAGAATGCAGGGGGTCCCCTCGTGGCTGCTGACCGATAAGCGTTCCTCACAGCGCTCAGGGCAGAAGCTGTCCTGCCATGTGAGAGAGGGTTTGGTGCAGGCCTGGCCTTCTAAGGGGCCACTGCAGGCAAAGCCCAGGGAAACCAGGGCCGCCAGGGGCAGCCCCTCCTGGCTATACTGAATGGGGCAAGCTGGGGGGGGGAGAGGGCCTCCGCTGTCCCAGCGGCCAGTCCAGTGGGCCCTTGGGAGATGGGTCCGTGCTCTCCTGGTGCCCTCAGGCACAAACTGTGCAGCTGACCCTCGCGCGCTTGGGCCCTTCTGGGGAGGGCCTTCCCTGAAACCGCACTTTTCAGCCTCTGGGGCTGGGCCCGCTCTATCTATCTGGGGAGGCGGCTTTCTCCCTGGAGTCCAGAGAGCGTCCTAGGGCGCCTGCCCGGCTCCCGCCTGCCCGCCCAGAGTGACGAGGACTTTGAAGGCAGCCTGCCCTGGGGTACCCAGAAAGCCACTGAGCAAGGAGAGGGATGGCCTGGAGGGACCCTGTCACCCAGGAGTGGGATGCACGCGAGGGACGTCTTCACGACCGCTAAGGGGTCAGGACTGCTTACTCACCACGTAGACTAGCAAGCTGGGAAGCTGGCAGCACTGACATGGGGAGATGGCGACGGGGAGCGTGAGCCTCAAACCTCTCCTCTCAACCTAAGGCAAACCATGACCCTCTCAACCAGTCCTGGAATTAAAACACTGCCCCGTGCCACAGAGGAGCCCCTTACCTCCGGCCGCGCAGGACCAGTTGTGGAGGAAATAAAAGCCCACAGCCACTGAGAAGGTGATCAGGTTGAAGAGGGACAGCCGGCACTTCCAGCTGTATGACTTGCGCTCCTGCAAAATAAAGGGAGAGGGAGAGAGAGAGAGAGAGAGAGAGGTGGAAGAGGGTCACCAGACACCGCGGGGACTTTGTCAGCCCATGTTTACTTACTTACAAGCCCCTCCCTCCCCCAGCCTTCATCCAGAAGGGAACGTTTCCCCACGGGTTGGAACAGGGGCTTGCTTTCACCCTCAGGATTTGTCCTGTAGGAACCCGAAGAAAGCTTGAGCCGAGGGCCTGCTGTCTCTCCAGAGATTCCCATTCCCCCCAGGAAGCCATTCGCAGAAAGAACACATTCTGGAAGCCCTCCCGGGCCAAGTCTGTAGGCTGGTTGTGGGGAGGAGGTGGAGAAAGAGGCCAAGAAAAGGAGGAGGACCAGCCCCTTTCCCCTGGAGCAGGCAGCTGCCTCCAGCCCCAACTTCCTCAGGCAAGAAGGCTCGGCCCAAGCCACGTTTCCCCCCCCCCGTCCTGAAAAGAAGAACGGAGCCCGCGGGGGCAACACTGGCAGGCAGGGAGATGCCCAGGTTAGGGATCCCCCCCCCAATGACCCTTGCTTGTAGTCGTCTCGACAGGGTGGTGCCCGATCCTGCGCTTGGTGTCTCTGCCGCTCCAAAGCAAGGCCAAGCAGCAGCAGCAACAGCAGCAGCAGCAGGTCTCCCTGGCTTGGGCCCAGGCGGCCTGCTTCCCTCCAGACGAGGCAGCCTCCCGCACAGCTTTGCCCTCAGGTCCCCTTGACGGATGGGGCCGATGGAAGGTGGGGGAGCCAACAGTTCCCCAACCCAGGTCTAAGAAATGCATACTCGGATTTTGTCCCTGTGTCCATGCTCTCCCTCTCCCCACCCTGCCCACTTCTTATCAAAGGTCTCTGCATCCTCTCAGGTGTTTCAGGGGGTTGGCTGCACCCCGAAATTCCCCCCTCCGCAGACTGCATTTACTAATGGACCTAGGAAAGGAAAGGAAG